TTCAGTGGCACTCATAAACATGATCTCACAGCCATAGATGATGTACAGAAACCCATGGCAATTTATTCACAGGGATGGTAAACCGTTAACTTCTTTGATAACACAAAATGTTTACGGAATGAAGACTGATTTTATGACTCTTCCGAGACAGCAAAAAGACAGTGTAGATAAATGACAAAGCTGGAGCACTGGAGAAACGTAGAGGAAAGGTAGGCTGTGCATGCTGAAGCTAAGCAACTACTGTCGAATCTAAGAAGTGTGATGGCCTGGGGAACAGTATGAGTGCATTTATTTCCATTCTATTTTTTTAAATTTCCAAAACGTAATACATTTGTAAGTGATGCACAAAATACTGTATAAGAAGATTACAAAACCACACACAAAACCCATAGTTCCCCATGCTTATCCTCCAGTATTTTTAATGGCATGGATCTGTATTCACTGGTTTAACTCAGTCTCCTGGAATGGTTTATAAAATGCACACTTTCAGATGCTTTTATTTTTGAAGGATCAGCCTTTTTGTTATTAAACTAGCTCTCCACAGAAATGTTCCAGGTGGTCATTGAGAAAGGCAGGTACAGTCGAAATGTCTGAGAGTAGGACTTGGCACCAAGTACGCCTGAGTTCTAATGCAAATTCTGGCACCAGCTCTTTCTTTGACCTTGGATAAGTCACTTAGGGCTAGAGACACAAAAGGATTTAGACATCTAACTCCAGGAAAGCAGACCTGGCTGTAAATCTCAGGCAGAGGGAGGCAGCTTCCTCTAGTCCAGATTTTGGCACCTAAATTCCTTTGGGGGTGGGGCTTAGGACTCACCTCTCTCCTTGGCATTTACTATTGGTTGCATAGGTGCCAACTCTGTGTGTGCTCCAGCTCCCACTCACCTCCCAGTGCCTCCTACCTGCTTGCTGCCCCGCTGATCAGTGCCTTCCGCTCTCTCCCACTGCCTTCCGTACGCTGTGATCAGCTGTGAAACTGGGCAGGAAAGAGGCAGGTTGGGGGTGGGGGCTTGGGGGAAGGGATGGGGTGAGGGCAGGGCCTGGGGCGGAGCAGGGGCTGGAAAAAGCGGGATGGGGGTGGGGGCTGGGGGAAGGAGTCAGGTGCAGGCAGGGCCTGGGGTGGACCTGGGGGGTTGAACCGCACCCCCGAGCCCAGAGGAAGCCACTGACTGTGATTGGTTGCCTTAGGTGGCTCCCTGTTCAGCTTTCTGGCTTTTGTGGATCCCATTCTTAGGCACCTAACTGTTGCCATACATTGAATAGGGAGCCTACGTGCCTAACTTGGGGCTGAGGCTTCCACTGGGTGGCAGGGACATTGTAACAGTGGGCATGGCAGTGTGTAAGTCCCTTTGTAGATCTAGCCTGTAACCCAGGGGTGGGCAAATTTTTTGGCCCGAGGGCCACATCAGGTTACAAAACTATACGGAGGGCTGGGGAGGGAAGGCTGTGCCTCCCCAAACAGCCTGGCCCCCACCCCCTATCCGTCCCCTCCCACTTCCTGCCCCCTGACTGTCCCCCTCAGAATCTCCGACCCATCCAACCCCCCCTGCTCCTTGTCCCCGACTGCCCCCTCCCAGGACTCCCCTCCCCTAACCGCCCCCCCGGGACCCCACCCCCTATCCAACCACCCATTCTCCCTGTCCCCTGATTGCCCCAACCTCTATCTACACCGCTGCCCCCTGACAGGCCCCCCCCGGACTCCAATGCCCTCCAACATCCAACCCCCCCCATTCCCCATCCCCTGTCTGCCCCCTACAGAACCTTCACCCCATCCAATCGCCCCCTGCTCCCTGTCCCCTGACTGCTCCCCAGGACCCTCCGCTCCCTGCCCCCTTACCATGCCGGAGCCAGGCATGCTGCCCGCGCTGCCCGGGAGGAGTGGCGGGCCAGAGCGCTGGCAGCACAGCGCGCTGAGGCTGCGTGGGAGGGGGAGTGGGAACAGCGGGGGAGGGGCCGGGGGCTAGCCTCCCGGCCGGGAGCTCAGCAGCAAGGCAGGACGGTCCCGCGGGCTGGATGTGGCCCGCGGGCCGTAGTTTGCCCACCTCTGCTGTAACCTCTGCATTACTTTCACAGTCAGTAATCTGAGTATGATTAGGTTTACTTTCTACTTCCCTAGGGTTATGAAGATTGCTTAGCTAAATTTGTAAATTATTTCCAAGATGGAAATAGCACAAAGACAAAAACTGCTATAGCTGCTAAATATTATGGTAGATTTATTATATCGATCCCAGTGTGAGGTAAATTAAGATTGATTATTTTAGGATCCAAAAGAATAAAAAGCCATATCAGTTCTGTGAAATATTTCATGCCCATGTACGTGCACAATGGACATTCAAAAATCATGTATATTAGATTAGTATTCAACGCTCCATTGCTCCAGCACATATAATTGACTTGGATCTCTACTTTTGCCATTCTGAACGGAATCCAGTGAGTTCTAAAATGTACTTTTTGTTGTATAAGCCCCAGCTGTAGGAGAGAGTTGACGAGCTGAAGTTTCTGTTAAATCTGAATGAACCTGTAATTGTCCAGTACTTAAGCCAGAGGCAGTGTAACCTAGGAATGTGCTGAATAAAGCTGTGCTGAGTTTGGATCCATGGGGTATTATTCTGTAAACTATTTCTCCAGTTTATCCAACAAGCCAATTTTCCAGGTGCCCTTTCCAAATTTTAATGCCCCTCCCCCCCCACCATCCTGCTACTGTTGCTATAGCAAGGGGGTAAGAGCACTGGCTAAGAAATACATTATGTGTGTACAGGGATCTATTTGCATTAATGGGAATTGTGTTGCTAAATCTCTGCGCACTGTGTTGAAAACCTGTTAGGGTTTTTTGGGCTGTTATATAACCCAGGATTCAGGAAAAATCAGATTTCTGTAGTGAATTCTAAAAATGGTTGTGTACAGTTTGAACCTCATGATGGCTATTAAAGTCAGTTGCAATCAATCATCTAAAGTTCACAGAAAGCCTTGAAAATGTAACCCTCAGAATTCAATATATCAAAATTGTGTAGTCCCAAGGGACAGAGAGGAAAAAACGGGTAAAGACGTTTCATATTTCAAAGGCTAACTAATAAGCAGGCTAATTCTGTCACATATGTCTGTGAGGTCACAATCCACAGGAAAACCCCTTGGTCAGAATGTTTGGTGGCTCTGGGAATTGTTAAGGGTACAGAGTCTTTTTCACCTAAGTCAGTTGTTCACATTTGGCAATGGTCAGCAATGACCAGAATTCATGATAATCTGATGGCTGTTGCTGTAAATGGAGCATGTAAAACTGGTTAGTGGTCTCAGTCTGTTTCCAAGCCACTGTACTGACGTCACAAAAGCCACTGCTGTTTTAGTGATGTCATCAGCAGTTGTAGGCTAGGATCCCCTCAGTATAGGAATTGGCAGGTAGAAAGTGGAAGAACTGTCTTTCACATATTTTGTTTTAACAACTGTTAATAAAACATGTTAAGTGTTTACATATAATTGTGTTTCAGGACTTGAAACAATTGTACATTTTAAAGCACTCCAGTTCACCTTTAAGATAATGATGCATGCTAAGGATAACTGCAACTCTACAAGGAAAAATGGGCTATTTCTGTTGAAAGGAGAGTGCTTTACGATATATTTTATGATTTTGATAACTAACAGTAGAAGTGAAGTTTGTGTTTAATTGGCTATTCTGTCGCTCATATACAGAGATATTTAGGAGACTGCAATGCTGTAGAAAGGCACAATGTTTTTCATGGAAACCTGTGAAGGCAGCAAGTCTCTATAACAGGCTTCCATGAATGTAAAAGCAAATCTGTCTGCACAGAATCTTTTATTCCCATGACTACTTCTACTGACCTCCTGGAGGATTGAAGGAAAAGTGTATTTTCCCCCCTAAGGAAATAACAGTTTAAGAATCTGAGGTATAATGTAACTTTTCAAACGATAAATAAGTTAAAATTAACTGAAATCTTGTGCATAGGCACATTTGAACATATATTTAATTTCCCACCCATTAGTCTTCATAACTGAAAGTTCTCCTCCAACAAAAGCCTTAACTCTGCTCTATAGTGACACCATGAAAGGAAAAAAAAATCTAATGTGTCTTTACAAATCAGTTTAATCTCATCTGGGATGACAAACACTTAAAATGACTCAGCCATAATCACATTGTTTTTCCATGTTGTCACTGCAGAGCGGAGTTCAGGTTGCTGGGTGCCCTAACTATGCATTCCCATATGGTAACTTGTTTAGGTTTCTTTTAAGTTTAACTCTAATTGTGTATTTCCTGGGTTTATAACACTTGGTTTGGGGATAATACAATAACCTTGCAATGTATTTGATCTTAACACTACTGATATAAAATCAACCTTCCTCATCCTTAACTCCATTTTAACATAGATTTTTTTACTGGGAATTCTTAAAGATAATAAAAGGAGTACTTGTGGCACCTTAGAGACTAACCAATTTATTTTGAGCATAAGCTTTTGTGAGCTACAGCTCACTTCATCGGGTGCATTCAGTGGAAAATACAGTGAGGAGATTTATATACCTGTATATAGATTTATATACAGTGAGGAATATAAATCTCCTCACTGTATTTTCCACTGAATGCATCCGATGAAGTGAGCTGTAGCTCACGAAATAAATTGCTCAAAATGCTCAAATAAATTGGTTAGTCTCTAAGGTGCCATAAGTACTCCTTTTCTTTTTGTGAATACAGACTAACACGGCTGCTGCTCTGAAACCTGTCTTAATGATAGTGGGGATTTTAAGCTTTCGCCGAAAGCATCTGGTAAAACTCATCATTAGAGATGTGTTGCCAGATTAGAGGACTCAGTGGTCTTTTCTGATATGTTCTTCAGACATCAAATACACAAAATATTCACATGACAAAGTGCTGTTACTCAGAGCCAAGTATTTTTGTTTTGTAGTCTTATCTTGCTGAATATGCAAGGTACGCCAAAGGCACCTCATTGACATTGGTGCTGGTATATTTACAATTCTTGTTTTTTTCTTTCCAGGTTTTGGCTTTGGTTATTCTATTGTTAATGGCCCTGCTAATGCAACCGTCCTAGCCGGTTCAGAGGCCCGGTTTAACTGTACTGTGTCACAAGGATGGAAAGTTATCATCTGGCTTTTAAACGGGAATGCTGTTCTCACGACAACTTCCCTTGGAGGGGCTGTTGTAACAATGAATCGCTTCACTCAGCAAAATTATACCAGCGGTGAGACTTTTACCTCAGAGCTGATCATCCACAACGTCCAGCTGGACGATTCTGGTCAAATAGAATGCAGCCTCCAACTTAGTAGCCCCAACAGCTATGCCTTTCTTTCTGTGCAAGGTCTGTATGCCTTTTCATTTTTGTCACAGAGTTTTTATTAAATTGTACTTAACAGAAATCCAATGTCACAATGCCAAAATTACCAGACTGTATGTGTACCAACTTTCAGTGAATGCCCAAAGCCTGCTATGTTTCTCATCTGGAAAGCTGGATCAGTAATTTCATGTACAGATTGGCATTCCAAGGTAGACTGAGGCTGCCACTGCAAAAGACTTCAGTTGTGCTCACTTTTTTCTGTAGCAGCTCTTACTCTGTTCTGGGTTGTGTGAAAGTGCCAGAAGCCTGTATCAGTGCTGCCAGCCATCAGTCAAAAACAATCTCTTTTCGCCAGAGTCTTTATGGATTTTTTTTCTCATTTTTGTACATAACACTTCTTTTATATTTAATGGAAAGTTCCTTCCTACTGTCCGACCTAGTAATAGACAGCCTCCACCCAGTTTGTGTTGGGGTTTAATGTAGTGCAAAAATTTAGCCTCTGAGTCACAAGGTGATATCATGGGATGTGACTGCTGCTGTACACTGCAGCTTCCAGGATCCAGTAAACCTTTCATGTATATCAGACATCCTCTCTGTAGCTTCCTCAAGCATCATTATTAAGGAAGTGCATCCAATAAAGTGGAATCTTCCTTCCACCTACTATTCATTTGTCCAAAAAAGAAGAAGGCTGATGCCTAGGGCATCACCTTTCTATAAACTTTCCGTGATAAACCTGAAGAACATCTCTAAGAGGTAACAGAGAAATAAAATCCTGATGACACATGGTCCTTTAGCTGGTGCAGGAGATATTTCAGTATGGCCAAAGCATGACACTTCCAAAGTTTTCATTGGACAGATGGTGGAAAATAAAGTCTAGTTGTGAAGCCGAAATGGACTATAACATGGCTGAGAAGCTGCAGTGGCTTCCACATTTATCTCATGTAAACAACATCTCTATGTTTTAGGTTTTCTATTTTATTTTAATTATTTTTTTAACTTGAAAATTTCAAAATAGGATTTTTGGTAGCCAAAGATGATTTAAAACGGGCAATAAGACACCATTGCAGTTAAATATTCTGAAGGAACAAATCATCTTTTCCCCCCACAGTTAATGGATCTTTGCTCATCAAAGATCACAACTCTACAGTAAGAAAGAATGAAACAATTGACATTGTTTGTGAAGCCTTAGGATGGGCTCCAGCTCCAAACATGACCTGGATGATAAACGACTCTTTTGTAGATAAGTCCAGGTATGTTACTAACCACAGTCAAGGATCTAATGATCTTCACAATGAAGGGAGCACCTTAACTTTGACTCCGATGGCCAATGAGACACTGACATGCTTAGCTTATATAGAGGCACTCCCTAAGCCCCAGAATGCAACTGTAACTCTTATTGTGCAGGATTCTCTTGCAGGTAAGTGAACGTTCTCTATACTATGCCTTTTATTTTGAAAATCTTTTATTCCAGTTTAAGCAACATGACACCTGCAAATGTAACAGACTCAAACTCTAGTAAACAATACAGACATCACATAGTGTTAAATTCACTCCTGTGCTGCGCCCCAGCACGAGTCCTGAGCATCACTAAATTCTCTTTATTTGGAACAGCACAAGGGAAACAGAACTCTCCCTAATGCTTATTAAGGGCTTCATTGCATACAAAATTGGATTTTCTGCCTTTTGCAAGATCTCACCACATGAATTTAGGCATTGAAAAAAATTGATTCCGGCCATGAAATAACAATAGATTTCTATCTGTCAGTCGCATAAACATCGTATGCTATGTCTTGTTTGCTCATGACTAAATCCTAATGTGAAATACTAAACTCTGAAAGTTTTGCCACTGACTTCAACAGAGGTAGGATTTCACCCCTACACACAACCCAAAGTAAACACTTGTGCACAACACAATGCTCCGCACAAGGTTACACGGCAGGCATTGAACTGTTCTGCCATTGTAGTTATAGCCTCAGAGCCGTACTGTGCTTGGTCCCTACCTTGGGGGTTTCCGCCTTGGGGGTCCTGGCTGTTCCATCAGCCAGGGATGACTCTAGCACAGTGGCATTCCAGCCTCATGCACTTTACCAAGCTTCACTCCAACTCAGGAATTGCCATGCTCGATCAGCCCAGCGGCCCATCTCATCCAGCGTCATGTCCCAGATAGTGGCCAGCATCCAGACATATTGCCGAATTCTTGGCCTCACCAACAACCTGTGGAAATTAATCCCATAGCTTAATATGACCCCTGATGCCAGAGGAATCACCAACCAGCTGGGTAAGCTGAGCTGCCACCTGCATTGTGCTGCCTGAATAGCACTACCTGTTTTTGAGGTAGTGATGGATGGTTTTCTTTTCCAAGCGCTAGCACAATAAGAACAAACAGGACTAGATCCTCAACTGGGGCTAAGCAGCGCTTGGTGAAGCAGAGGGAGGAGGCATGAAAATGCCCTTTTTGGTCCCTCAATCTTGGGAATTATCTGGCCGTTTGTCCCCAGTGCTGCAAAAAAGAGTCGTTTCTGGGCTGCTGAAATTAACACCAGCTGCTCATGGTCTCTAGGGACTGTTACAAAAGGTGAGATTACTGGGGCACAGAGACACTTTTGTCACACCTCCTATGGTGGGAGCTGGAGGGGTGGTGTAGAAGCCCTTATGGTGACTCTGTGCCACCCAGAGTTTCCCGTAGGCAGAGGAGGTCCTTAAATCCATGTTTCTTTTAGTGATTGGGTGAGCGTGGAAAAAAGGAGCTGAGCTTGTGACATCAAACTGACAGCTCTTTGGCTGAGTTGGCACCCATCGGAGTGTTACGTGACATGTGACCCATTCTGTGTTCTGAAATGGGTGGCACTGGCATGGTGTATAAAAGGCATTCAGATACTACAGTGATGGGTGTGGTATAAAAACCTAGATAGATAGATAGGCAGACTGGCTGGGCCTTTTACTTTAAGTGTGAGCCATTGTTAGCAAATTTCTCAGGACCATCTACTTTGTAATGCAATTGAAAAAGGCCATTTTACTAGGTTTAATAAGGCTTCCTCTAAGTTAAATTGCTTCTAATTACTGACTAAACAAGAAATCTGTCCTGAGGACTTAATAAAATGATTAAACTCCCCAGCCTACTCATTCTAGAGCTATTGAGGCATCTGCCCACAGTTTCCATAGTTACATGCTATACATTAGAAGAGGAGAAAAACAGATGTCACAGACACAATTAGTACATAATTGGTGATCATATAGGACCATCATGCATTCCTCTTTGGGAAAATGATTATGCAGTAACAGATACTCAAGATTTCTCAGCATAGGCATAGTTTGACGTCTATATTTGGAGGGGCGGCTCTGATCAGGCCAATGGGACCGCACGTGCTGGGGGTGGGCAAACTCTGTGCCTGTCCACAGGGGTGTCATTTCAGATTTGGGGGGCCCTGCAACTTTAAGCGTGATTCCAGGGGCTACTTAGGCAACTGAAAACTCTAATGTTTTTGCAGATAATAATTTAGAAATATCTGACAGGAGCACTGTATCTAATTCCTATACCAAGAAAGAAAATTAAATAAATATTAGATTCACTCAGCTCTAATACTAACATGTTCTGACATCTTGTGGCAAGTCACTTATGGGACACTGATTAGGTTTAAAATTGTAATATATATTCTTACTCAGATACTCATACTAAAGTCAGAAGGGACTATCGTGATCATCTAGTCTGACTTCCTGCACGTTGCAGGCCACAGAACCTCACCCACTCACTTGTGTAATAGACCCCTGATCTCTGGCTGAGTTACTGATGTCCTCACATCATGGTTTAAAGACTTCCAGTTACAGAGAATTCACCATTTACACTAGTTTAAACCTGCAAGTGACCACCATGCCCCATGCTGTAGAAGAAGGTGAAAACCCCCATGGTCTCTGCCAATTTGACCCGGGGGAAAATTCCTTCCTGACCCCAAATATGATGATCAGTTAGACCCTGAGCATGTGGGCTAGACCCACCAGGCAGACACCTGGGAAAGAGTTCATTGTAGTAACTCAGAGCCCTCCCCATCTAGTGTCCCGTCTCCAGCCATTGGGGATTTTTGCTATAGGCAGTCACCGATGGGCCACATGCCATTGCAGGGAGTCCTGTCATACCATCCCCTCCATAAATTTATCAAGCTCAATCTTGAAGCCAGTTAAGCTTTTTGCCCCCATTGCTCCCCTTGGGAGGCTGCTCCAGAATTTCACTCCTCTACTGGTTAGAAACCTTTGCCTAATTTCAAGCCTAAGCTTGTTGATGGCCAGTTTATATGTATTTGTTCTGGGGTCCACCTTGATGCTTAACTTAAATAACTCCTCTCCCTCCCTGTTATTTATCCCTCTGATGTATTTATACAGAGCAATCATATCTCCCTTCAGCCTTCTATTCGTTAGATTAAACAAGCCAAGCTCTTTGAGTCTCATAAGAAAGGCCTTCCATTCCTCAGATCATCCTAGTAGCTCTTCTCTGCACCTGTTCCAGTTTGATTTCCTCTTTCTGAAACATGGAAAATCAGAATTGCACAGAAAATTCCAGATGACGTCATTTGATCCTTTATTTCACTTGTAACCACTGAAAATGGAGAGATGGCCAACGTAAAGCTTGTTAGTTGAACTTCCTAATGTTTTATATAATGCCTGAGGCCAGGCATCACATAATGTTACATTGGGCCTGGCCAACAGAGACGTAACTAATCTGTCAGTTAAGCTATGTCTGTACTAGAGGCCTTACACTGGCACAGCTGTACCGATGCAGCTGCGGCGCTGTAAGATCTCTTGTGTAGCCACTCTATGCCGACGGCATATCTTCTGTCGACATAATTAAACCACCCCTAACGAGTAGCAGTAGCTATGTCGGCAGGAGAAGCTCTCCCACTGACATAGCACTGTGCACACCACCACTTATGCTGGCAAAAATTATGCTGCTCAGGGTGGTGTTTTTTCGCACCCGTGAGCGACATAACTTTTGCCAACGTAAGTGGTAGTGTAGACGTTACAGAGACTAAGGTGAGGGCTTCCTCATGCGCAATTTAGCAAAATACTATAGTTCTTATGGGGCTGCAGTCCCTGGGACAAGCAGGAAGATCAAACAGGGAAGAGATTCATTAAACTGCCAAACTGGGAAAAGCAGATGATAACGACAGCAGTTGAGATGGGAAGTCTGTGGCTGTTTATTTTTCACACTGATTTATGTGGAAGTGTTAAGCCATACCAGCACCAGCTAGTCCAGTTCCTTACAGGCACATTCATGGTCTCCACAACATCCTGAACTATGAGGGACAATGTGGTACAGTGCCATCTTACAGACACCTCAGGTAACTAGTAGGAAGTAGGCTAGGCTAGACACAGACAGAGGGTATGTCTTCACAGTAGCTGGGAGGTCTAATTTGCAGCGTGGGTAGACAAACATGCACTAGTTTTGCTCAAACTAGCACCTAAAAATAGCAATGTGGGCCAGGCAACATGGGAAGTGCCTTGGGCTTGTCGCTTGAGTATCCAAGGGATCAGGGGGGATTGTACTCGGGTGGCTAGCCCAAGCAGCTGCGTGTGCCACCATGGGCACACTGCTATTTTTATTGCACTAGCACGAGCAGAGCAAGTGCATGGACATCTACCCCCACTGGGATTTACACCGCTGCTGGGTAGACATACTCATAAAGAGAGTTCTCCGAGCCAGACACTGGATGCAGTCTCATCCATTACATTGTTGGCGTAACAGCTTTTTAGTGAAACCTAAGACTCCCTGCTTCTTCAAGAATACCACAGTCAGTCTGTTCTCATCCGTTTTATAAAAAGAAAATCTGCTGTGTTTTGCACACAACGATCTCGTTTCCCCCTCCGCTAGATTATATAGAAGATCTCTTGTAATGGATTCTAGTGATACACAGTAGGAAGTACCTTTCCATTGCTAGTTCCCTTTCAATCCTGAAAGATGGCTATGCTCCACTGCAGTGAAAATTCCGCACAAATCTCATCTTAAACAGAGGATTCAGGTAAAAAAGAAATGAAGGAAGATGACTCCTTAAGCAATGCACTTTTGGGGGGGTTTATTAAAATATCTGAAATTATCCTGGGCACTTTGCTTACAAGACTTGTTTCAAGTATGTAAAGTTTCTTAACATCAATGTGCAGGCTTTTTGTAGTCCTCGATCTCAACAGAATGACAGTGAACAAGACTGGTGAAAGTATGCATACTGAAGGAGTTCCCACAGTATGGAAATAACTTAGAATTAATGTGAAAGATGCTATTAGAGAATATACTGACAGGAGACTTATTAGATTTATATTAACCTGAGATTATAGAGTATGGATAAAGTAAGGGGAAAGAAGTAAGGACATTTTTAGAACTCCAAGTATATGATTATTATGCAGTGCAGGTTTCTTGTGCTTAGCTTTTCCTATCAATTAATGTTGAATTTCTAATGATAATTAGAGTCCTCTGCTTTTAAATCAACATAATTCTTGGGAATTACAAGTGTTAAAAACAGTCCTCCTGAACAGAGTGATCATTTTGAGTGACAAGTACATGGGAGAAGAGCTGGTGCAGAGCACAGGAGCAGTGCCATTGGCATCTTTCTGCTTCTACATTCCAATGCTGGCAAGTCTTAGCGATCCATCTATGTCAAAGCTCAAGGGCAGGCACTGAACAAAAACCTTCCCTTGCTCTCTCTTTCTGTTCTGTGCTGCCTGGAAAGCAGACTACAGGTATTCCTGAATTTGACCTAAGCAGCTATCTTACTTTGGCAAATGAATAGGCCATGAAGGCTGAAAGGCTGGTTAAATGAAAATCACAAGAACAAATGAAGCTGTTGTAAGAACTATTCCTCAAACCTTAGTTGCTGTATGTACCAAGAAATGTGAAACTAATGAGAGTGTAGCGTTTGCCAAAGCATAACGTTGCAGCTGACAAACAGAAATCTTAGGCTATCACATATGGAGATCTGTTTCTAGGACTCATTAAAAAAATATTGACTAACACAGCTCTATTAATCTATACACTGCTTGTATCTAACCTTGATATGACTTAGCACAACAAATTATTTTCTGCATGTATCTTATCACAAATCTGTATTAAAGTTAACTGAGAAATGTATTACAAGAAGCTAAATAGAAAAACAAGAACTAAAAATAAGACTACTCAAAATAACTGATATTTGGTAGCAATAACTTATTAAAAACATAATTAAACACACAGGCAAGATTAACATTCATTTCATATTTTAATTACCTTAAAATTCCCATAGCATTTTGTATGGCACAAAATAAAATAACATAAAATAAAATGCAGATTTATGCTGTAGATTTATTTCTTCCATGCAAAAAAATCACAAAATACTTCACAATTGACTTATACATATTAACTACAAGGCTGCAGATCATAATATACTGGTAACTTCAGTAGTTATGGAGAGGCAGAACAAAAGCTGTACAAGGCCAGTCTTAGGAAGAATGATTGAAGACAGAGACATGGAAAATTAAGGGCTTGATTCTGCTTCCCTTAATGTAAAATGGTTTTTGCCACTTATTTAACTGGTAGCAGGATCTGGGTGGTTAGTTTTCTCAGAGAGTGCATTGAGAGCCCTACATAAGAGCGAGGGATGAATCTGGTTGTGATGAGATTTGAAGGCAGACAGGATTCAGGAAGGTGCTCAGAGAAGGCAGGTGTTCCAGAGATTGAGCACAGAAGGAGAGAGAAGGATTGGTTGCTCAAAAAACCTGGGATGAAGGGGGAAGAAAATCTGGTGTTTGAGGTGTGTCGGGAATGACGTGAACAGAAAATATTGGGGGGAATTAGGTGGGTCACGTGTGGCTGGAGGAGGAGGATGGCGGATGAAGAACCTATAAAGAGCATTTAAAATGGGGGCTGATATCTGCCTTTGCATTTATACACAGGGTTTCCATTACTCGCAACGGAATTAATGTTCACGCACCCAAGGGCAAAATATCCTCTTAGGAGAGATCATTAATAACGACCATTGACATGGAGACAATACATCCTTGAAGTGCTCTAGATGGGTAAAGATATGTGTTAAAGTTGGAATCCAGGAATATTTTGGGTAGTAGATTATAATTAGGTGCAGGAGCAGCCCCTCAATTGGGTTAATTTGCATGATTAATTTACATGCTGATAGTTCATTAGGATTAGAGAGGAGACTAAATTAAATAATTTCTGAACCATCCAATCTTTGGAGTGTTCAGAATCCAAATTCAAGTCCAAATTTTGCATCTGGGCTATTATGCTATAATGGGCCAATCCGAAACCCCAGAAGAATATCTGCAAACTTTGGTGAGTCTGAAATCTGTATCCAAATTTTGCCATTCAGGCCCATCTTTAATTAGGAACACTAAAAAGTACCTGACACACACAAATCCAGTGCAACAGAGGCAGTATTGTCAAGTCTGTACAAACCTTGTGCTTTTCGGTTGGATTTGAAGTTTGTTTTTAATATAGCTACCAGGGCTATATTTTGGACTGCTTTTGGAACCTGCCTTAGCTTTTGGGCTGAGGTTACTCCCTGCAGTTAGGAAGATCAAAGATTGGTTCCAATTAGGTTAAAGAGCACCATAGATATTGGATGAGCCTGATGGACAGGGCCGTATTACCATCAGAAGAAGCGTCTATTGTATGTTGACAACTAGTTAAAGGGTAAAAGCTATCAATTTAATGTTGATTATTTGGGGGGATATATGGTGAGCACCTTTTGTTTGTGGCAACCAGAAACAGGGATGCACTGAATGATTTTGAAATCACCCAATTTAGCATTATAGGTTAAAAAAAAATCGAATCCTAGTTATGTGAAAACACCATAAATGCATAGTGTACATCACTATGCAAAATTATGTTATGGTCCAGGATGCAGGAACGTGTTACGGTTAGCAATCTCAAACTCAGTAGATGTGTTGTTAACATGCTTGTCCTTTACCATGGACAACTGAGGGTTTTTTGAATTATGCACAGTGAGTTGAAGCCTCCTGAAGCCAATGGAAAGACTCCCATTTGCTTTCAGTGGGGTTTAGACTGGGCTCGAAATGTCTACAAAACAAGTTTAAATGTGAAGAATGAAGAAAATTAGCAGCCTAGGTTTGTCAGAAATACAACTAGCAGATAAAGTAGAATAATTGTAACAAAGAATTATCGTGATCAAGGCATTTTGTGGTACTGGGTATCATCAATATAGGGGAAAGCCATTTTCAACACAAATGAGAAACACAATCCATCTCTTGTTTTAAATAATCAACAAGTAATTTAATAATGTTTTCAGAAAGTTGGTCACGCTCTTCAGAAAAAGAAAGGTCGCAGCTCTGCTAGTGTAATGATACTTCATTTCATTTAATAGAAAATGGTAACCAAGAAGACAGCACACGGACACGGACTATTATACTTGCAGTCACATTGTCAATTGGTTTTCTTCTTCTGATCATTATTATTTTTATAATAATATACTGCCGCCTAAAAAACAAAGGTAAGAGGATTTTTGCTACTGGCTATGCTTTTTTTAAACCTCAAATTAGATTTAATCTATTACTATTTCAGTTTCATAGATATTTAGGTCAGAAGGGACCATTATGATCATCTAGTCTGACCTCCTGCACAACGCAGGCCACAGAATTTCACCCACCACTCCTACAAAAAAAAAAAAACCTCACACCTATATCTGTGCTATTGAAGTCCTCAAATCGTAGTTTAAAGACTTCAAGAAGCAGAGAATCCTACAGCAAGTTAAAGCATAGTGCATGGTTTGGTAAGGATTGTTCAGGGAAGAAAGGTGATTCTGATAACCAGTGGCTTGTAGATACTACAGATAGTTGCCTGCTGACTTCTTCTGATGTAACTTGTTTCCAGTGGAATTGGTGGCTCGTTAGTATTTCTGTCAATAGTAAAGAGGAAGGGTAAGATTTTCAAAAGTGAGTAAATGAAGTAGAACACAAATCTCATTGACAGTCACTGTACATCTACACCTAGATTTGTACAGCTATCCAATGTACACACCAGCTACAAATGCATTCAGTAAATTCTTTCCTAGTATTAATTTTCCATGTAAGCAAGTACACCAGGATGTTATGTGAGTGCAGACGGGAGGGGAGGGCAGCTATGAAATAATTTCTGTATTAAAATACAGTCTGAACTGTGAGAAAGTGAGAGAACCTCAGTAGCAAGCCTTATTTTATTTCACTGTATTTTAAAACCATTTCTTCCTTCCTTTCAGAGTCCACCTATCAAAAGGAGTTGAGGTAAGTTGAATACCATGGATTTCCCCCTCTGGTATGCCCAGCATCAACCTTCCCAGTCCCTCCCTCTGGGATGCGAGATTTATGCTGAGCCTTTTAGGCTACTCTGCAAGCTATGGGTGTGATTCCTTGCTTGTGTACACATACTCGCTCTAGCAGCATACTGGGGTTGCATGGGCAGCAGCAGCAGCTTAGCTGTGTTGAGTACAAACCTGCCCGATCCCCGTGGGCATGTACTCGGCACGGCTAAGCTAGACCTCAATGCTGCTATGGCTATGCTATTATTTATACTCCTGCCAGTTCTCATCAAGTTAGTGTGAGTTATATGGGAATTATACCCCTTGCTCACAATGCAAACGTAGCTTTTGAGGTACAGCCCAAAATCTCATTCCACTTTTAGTTTTCTCCCCAAAATGATTATACAACCAAGTCTACATAATTGGAAGTTATAAATCACTACCTTTAAAAAAGTAACCCCCAGTCAGAAACGTGCCCGTTACATGCATTGGAGTGAATCAGCAACACCATATTACTGAAAACTATAACTGATGTTCCCATAAAACTTCTTTTGAAGATGATCAAAATGATCTAGTTACTGAGTTCCAGATTCAGCAATATACCTAAGCACGTGCTTAACTTATAAGCATGTGAGCAGTCCCAATAAAGCCGATGAGAATACTCAGGTACCCAAAAATTAAGCATATGCTCAAGTACTTCACTGAATATGGGTTTAGATTTGATCCTATACTTCTAGATATTCCAATTTTGCACCAGATTTCCTCCAGCCTCAACACTCAGCATTTGCAACAAATTCCACAGGAGGTCACTGTGCACCAAAATAGCTCTCTCTTCCAAGTTTCAGTCAAGATTACAGTAGATTTACAATTTGCCCAGAGTATAACTGAGCTAGAATTTCTGTGGTACAGAAGAAATGTTGAAACTGAGATGGATTGATGCAAATTAAATGAGACTGATTGGCAGACAAATTTGATGATGTCCCCTGCTTTTTTAAGGATCATTAGTTATACTACAGAAAAAGCTGCCAGTGATACCTGTCAACACTTCCTACTTAACCAAATTGAGTATCAGACACATCTGAATACAAAGCAACCTAATTGGTTTTGCATTACTGCATTAGGTTGAAACACCTTAAAAGGTAGGATCCTGTTAATCAATATTAAGATCCTATTTGTCAGTATTAATGTGAACAGAAAAACTTTTTCAATGGGGTTACTTTGTGTTATCCTTTTTAATTTTTTAGGTGTACACTGTGAATCCAACCATAGTTATTATATGCTTCTGGGATATTTAATCCTACTTTGCTTTCTGTCTCCTAGCTATTTTTGATCAATGACAATACTTTGCCTTTCACACCATGATACTTAACTTCTTTAGTAACATCTTGTGTGAAACCTGGTCAACAGCCTCTTGAAAATCTACCAACACGGCTACAACAACACTGCATAAATACATTTTGTCATCTGGTTCTCCTTTATCCACTATTTTATTGACCCATTCAAATAATTCTGAGAGATTAGTGAAACAAGATTTTCCTGTGAAGAAACCATGCTGAGTAGTCCTTATCATATCATGATCTTCCAGGTGTTTTGTTATTCTGTTTGTAATTATTGTTTCAACCAATTTATCAGGTACAGCTAGATAAACTGGTTGGACTAAATCAATAAAGCATCTGAGGCCAAATGCAGGTCCAAGTCAATTTTTATTTTTGATTCAAATAAAACTGCTGTAAAAGGATCTGTCATTGTGGCTCGTATTCTGAGTCCTGACCAGACTCACTGTATGGATTAATCCTGCTAGGGCTGAACCTATTGGTATGTCTACACTGCAGTTTGACACCGGCCCATGCCAGCTTACTCGAGCACACGGGGTTTGGGTGAAGGGGTTGTTTAATCATCAGGTAGATATTTGGGCTCAGGCTGCAGCTTGAGCTCTGGGATCCTTGCACATCACAGGGTCCTAGAGCCCAGGCACCAACCTGATCTTGAATGTCTACCCTGCAATTAAAAAGCCCCTTAGCCTGAGCCCTACAAGCTCGAGTCAGCTGGCACAGACCAGCCAGGGATTTTTAATTGCAGTGTAACCACACCTATGATTCTCTAAAGAGGGAATCTACACAACAGATGAAGTCAGTAGTTCAGGGAGTGTACATGCTAAAACACAATGTCCAAATCTATTGCCCTCATCCAGGTACACGCCTGCCTCTCTCTTTCCACAGAGGGCCCACAGGGTGTTTTTTCCACAGGTTTTGAAGGAGTGCAAGGCAGGGCATAACAGTTATGTCTGGTTGCCTCTTTTCTGTGTACACCTATTATTAAAATAAAAAGGAGCTTGAATGTGACCCATGGTAAATGAAGTTGGAGCTTCATAAAATGCTACATGTTTTTTAGTCCCTAGTCTAACACAAGAAGTCCTGTTGACTTCAGTGGGGCTACTCACATGATTAACTTTAATCACATGCTTAAGTACTTTGCTGGCTCAGGGCCTTAGGGTTTATATTGAATTTAGGAACTCAGCAAAGCAAAGACTTTAAGTACATGTGCAACTTTACTCATGTAAATGGTCCCAATGAAGACAAAGGGGCTACTCATGTGTTTAAAGATACACATGAGCATAAGTGTTTGCAGGACTGGTACTTTTGTTTTCTAATTATATCTATAAATGAGTGCTCTCTATCCCTAAATACTGCATTGGAACGACACTAGCTTCATATAGGGTTTAAAAAAACTCATTGCAGTCTACTCATCTGATCCTAACATCTATTTATTTAGATCTATAGAAGCATTGAAAATGCCCCTGTCTGAAACTCTAGGCACTTTGTACATTATGTTAAAAGTATAGAAATAAATGCAGCAATTTCCCCAAATAATGGGAACAAAGAAAAAAATCCCTCTCCAGCTACAAATCCCAGCCCTTCTTCCGCACACCCCTGCCCTTAGCTGGCTTGTCTCTCCCCAAAAGCCTGGGCAAAGAGATGGACCTTTCAGCATGCCCTGGAGGACCCCAGACTTGAGCTATTTGGAACAAATGACGAGTAAAATCCCTTGTAGCGTAACAGAGTGATAAATAGAATTATATTATCTGTATCCCACTGGCTACAAATGTAGGCCCCCACCCTGCAAATGCTTACATATGTGCTTAACGGAGGAGTAGTCCTATTGATTTCAGTGGGACGAGACACCTGCTTGAGGTTAGGCATGTGTGTAAATGTTTGAAGGATCAGGGCCATAGGTCAGATTGTGATGGAGCCTTACATGGTGTGTTTGGGAGGATGCACACAAGAAGCCTCCTGTTGCCTTGCACAGCTTGCAAAAAGACCTGGTGCACCTCACCCCAAAGAGGAGCTGGGGGTGGGGAGGCAGAGGCAGAGCCATAGCCTGGCCTCCTCACCAAACTGGCCCACAGAACCAAGGGAAGCAGGTTGCACCCTCCTCAATGGTGGGGAGGCAGAAGGAGCAGACTGCATAGTCCCCCTGCCCCCAGGGATACTCTCCTTATTGCTCCCAATGCAGGGCTGTAGTTAAATCACACAATCAAGGTCAGAATATTGGGTTGTGCTTTAGTTCTTACAAAAATTTTGAAATGGGTCACAGACTTGAAGTCTTAAGATGTTAATCATCTTAATTTCCCAAATGTTATTAAGCATCTGATCAGAACTTTTTAAGCAAAGCCTAGTTAGAATTTATACAAGACTGTGCATGCAGTAGGTAAATTCTTTCAAGGATTATACATTATTTTTCTTTACTCTTTTGGAAGTTGGACACATCTGCAAGTCCTTTGGCCCAGATCCTCAAAGGTATTTAGGTATCTAACTTCCATGAAAATCAATGAGAATTAGGTGCCGAAATACCTTTGAGAATTTGTGCCTCACTCTCTGTTGGATACTGCCTAAGAATGCCAATAGCATGTAGGTTTTAATGATTGGAATTTTTATTTCCAGAAAAGTTTCAACTAAGAAAACCAACGATAGCAATATGAAGACCAGGAGAAGCAGTGGTAATGAAAATTCTGGGTACAGTCCAGAGGACCCAGTGTACACAAAACAAATGCCAAGTGAGTCAAACATGTCAGTGATAATGAAGCAAGCATAATAGAGTTGGCTCACCAATTTCCAAGAAATGAGTATTTTTTACTCTGTGCTACTTAAAGTCTTAGAATACCCAATATATTATGGAAAACACAATGTGTGCCTGACCCTATTCAGGGAAGTTCAGATCTCTCAGAATGCTAGGGTGTTTGGAGGCTTCCAAACACAGTTGTAGTTGTAGGGGTGGACCTTTGCCCAAAAATCTAAGTGAATGTGTGAACTGAGCATTTGTGAAGTTGTAAAAACTTTGATTGTTTAAAAAAAATTCTTCCATGTGTCTTTTCACTTCCAAATTCCTGCAAGGGCTGGAGATGGAGGAACAGAATCCCACAAGAAAGGCTGTTCTTGCAGTGATTTATAGTTTGACTGAAAGCAGAAAATGCAAGAAACATCACAACAGAGCCTGTTGGTGTGAGATTTCCAATCCAGTTTTGCAGAAATTATAATAGTTTAGCTAACTCTTGGAACTTTGGATGCTTCTCTGAATACAACCGCACTTCTGAATGTTTTAAGGCTCGTCCATCATTACTATTTTGCTACCCATGTTACTTAATAATAATTACAGTTGGTACTACTGTATTTTTTTAGTTAATTCATGCAATAAATGTTCATAGAATTATAGAATATCAGGGTTGGAAGGGACCTCAGGAGGTCATCTAGTCCAACCCCCTGCTTAAAGCAGGACCAATCCCCAACTAAATCATCCCAGCCAGGGCTTTGTCAAGCCTGACCTTAAAAACTTCTAAGGAAGGAGATTCCACCACCTCCCTAGGTAACACATTCCAGTGCTTCACCACCCTCCTAGTGAAAAAGTTTTTCCTAATATCCAACCTAAACCTCCCCCACTGCAACTTGAGACCATTACTCCTTGTTCTGTCATCTGCTACCACTGAGAACAGTCTAGATCCATCCTCTTTGGAACCCCCTTTCAGGTAGTTGAAAGCAGCTATCAAATCCCCCCTCATTCTTCTCTTCTGCAGACTAAACAATCCCAGTTCCCTCAGCCTCTCCTCATAAGTCATTCGAGTCCCCTAATCATTTTTGTTGCCCTCCGCTGGACGTTTTCCAATTTTTCCACATTCTTCTTGTAGTGTGGGGCTCAAAACTGGACACAGTACTCCAGATGAGGCCTCACCAATGTCAAATAGAGGGGAACGATCACGTCCCTCAATCTGCTGGCAATGCCCCTACTTATATGTCCCAAAATGCCATTGGCCTTCTTGGCAACAAGGGCACACTGTTGACTCATATCCAGCTTCTCGTCCACTGTAATCACTAGGTCCTTTTCTGCAGAACTGCTGCCTAGCCATTCGGTCCCTAGTCTGTAGCGGTGCATGGGATTCTTCCGTCCTAAGCGCAGGACTCTGCACTTGTCCTTGTTGAACCTCATCAGATTTCTTTTGGCCCAATCCTATAATTTGTCTAGGTCCTTCTGTATCCTATCCCTACCCTCCAGCGTATCTACCTCTCCTCCCTGTTTAATGTCATCTGCAAACATGCTGAGGGTGCAATCCACGCCATCCTCCAGATCATTAATGAAGATATTGAACAAAACCGGCCCCAGGACCAACCCTTGGGGCACTCCACTTGATACTGGCTGGCAACTAGACATGGAGCCTGTCAAGGTTCCTTCCCCACTCTGAACTCTAGGGTACAGATCTGGGGACCTGCATGAAAGACCCCCTAAGCTTATTCTTACCAGCTTAGGTTAAAAACTTCCTCAAGGTACAAACTTTGCCTTGTCCTTGAACCCTATGCTGCCACCACCAAGTATGTTAAACAAAGAACAGGGAAAGAGCCCACTTGGAGACGTCTTCCCCCCAAAATATCCCACCAAGCCCTACACCCCCTTTCCTGGTGATGGCTTGATAAAAATCCTCACCAATTTGCATAGGTGAATACAGACCCAAACCCTTGGATCTTAAGAACAATGAAAAAACAATCAGGTTCTTAAAAGAAGAATTTTAATTAAAGAAAAAGTAAAAGAATCACCTCTGTAAAATCAGGATGGTAAATACCTTACAGGGTAATCAGATTCAGAACATAGAGAATCCCTCTAGGCAAAACCTTAAGTTACAAAAAGACACAAAAACAGGAATATACATTCCATTCAGCACAGCTATTTTGCCAGCCATTAAACAAAAGCATTCTAATGCATTTCTAGCTAGATTGCTTACTAACTTTTTACAGGAGTTCTGAAGAGCATTCCTGATCTGTTCTCAGCAAAAGCATCACACAGACAGACAGACCCTTTGTTTCCCCCCCCCACCTCCAGCTTTGAAAGTATCTTGTCTCCTCATTGGTCATTTTGGTCAGGTGCCAGCGAGGTTATCTTAGCTTCTTAACCCTTTACAGGTGAAAGGGTTTTGCCTCTGGCCAGGAGGGATTTTATAGTTCTGTATACAGAAAGGTGGTTACCCTTCCCTTTATATTTATGACAGAGTCATTGATCACTACCCATTGAGCCCGACAATCTAGCCAGCTTTCTATCCACCTTATAGTCCATTCATCCAGCCCATACTTCTTTAACTTGCTAGCAAGAATACTGTGGGAGACTGTGTCAAAAGCTTTGCTAAAGTCAAGGAACAACATGTCCACTGCTTTCCCCTCATCCACAGAGCCAGTTATCTCGTCATAGAAGGCAATTAGATTAGTCAGGCATGACTTGCCCGTGGTGAATCCATGCTTACTGTTCCTGATCACTTTCCTCTCCTCTAAGTGCTTCAGAATTGATTCCTTGAGGACCTGCTCCATGATTTTTCCAGGGACTGAGGTGAGGCTGACTGGCCTGTAGTTCCCAGGATCCTCCTTCTTCCCTTTTTTAAAGATGGGCACTACATTAGCCTTTTTTCAGTCATCCGGGACCTCCCCGCATCGCCATGAGTTTTCAAAGATAATGGCCAATGGCTCTGCAATCACATCTGCCAACTCCTTTAGCACTCTCAGATGCAGCACATCCAGCCCCATGGACTTGTGCTCGTCCAGCTTTTCTAAATAGACCCAAACCACTTCTTTCTCCACAGAGGGCTGGTCAACTCCTCCCCATGCTGTACTGCCCAGTGCAGTAGTCTGGGAGCTGACCTTGTTTGTAAAGACAGAGGCAAAAAAAGCATTGAATACATTAGCTTTTTCCACATCCTCTGTCACTAGGTTGCCTCCCTCATTCAGTAAGGGGCCCACCCTTTCCTTGACTTTCTTCTTGTTGCTAACATACCTGAAGAAACCCTTCTTGTTACTCTTAACATCTCTTGCTAGCCGCAACTCCAGGTGTGAATTGGCCTTCCTGATTTCACTCCTGCATGCCTGAGCAATATTTTTATATTCATCCCTGGTCATTTGTCCAATCTTCCACTTCTTGTAAGCTTCTTTTTTGTGTTTAAGATCAGCAAGGATTTCACTGTTAAGCCAAGCTGGTCGCCTGCCATATTTACTATTCTTTCTACACATTGGGATGGTTTGTCCCTGTAATCTCAATAAGGATTCTTTAAAATACAGCCAGCTCTCCTGGACTCCTTTCCCCCTCATGTTATTCTCCCAGGGGATCCTGCCCATCAGTTCCCTGAGGGAGTTAAAGTCTGCTTTTCTGAAGTCCAGGGTCCATATTCTGCTGCTCTCCTTTCTTCCTTGTGTCAGGATCCTGAACTCGACTATCTCATGGTCACTGCCTCCCAGGTTCCCATCCACTTTTGCTTCCCCTACTAATTCTTCCCTGTTTGTGAGCAGCAGGTCAAGAAGAGCTCTGCCCCTAGTTGGTTCCTCCAGCACTTGCACCAGGAAATTGTCCCCTACATTTTCCAAAAACTTCCTGGATTGTCTGTGCACCGCTGTATTGCTCTCCCAGCAGACATCAGGGTGATTGAAGTTTCCCATGAGAACCAGGGCCTGCGATCTAGTAACTTTCGTTAGTGTGCCAGAAGAAAGCCTCTTCCACCTCATCCCCCTGGTCCGGTGGTCTATAGCAGACTCCCACCACGACATCACCCTTGTTGCTCATACTTCTAAACTTAATCCAGAGACTCTCAGGTTTTTCTGCAGTTTCATACTGGAGCTCTGAGCAGTCATGCTGCTCTCTTACATACAATGCAACTCCCCCACATTTTCTGCCCTGCCTGTCCTTCCTGAACAGTTTATATCCATCCATGACAGTACTTCAGTCATGTGAGTTATCCCACCAAGTCTCTGTTATTCCAATCACATCATAATTCCTTGACTGTACCAGGACTTCCAGTTCTCCCTGCTTGTTTCCCAGGCTTCTTGCAATTGTGTATAGGCACTTAAGATAACTTGCTGTTTGTCCTGCTTTCTTAGTATGAGGCAGGAGCCTCCCCTCTTGCGCTCTCCTGCTCGTCTCCCCTCCCGGTATCGCACGTCCCCACTTAACTCAGGGCTTTGGTCTCCTTCCCCCGGTGAACCTAGTTTAAAGCCCTCCTCACTAGGTTAGCCAGCCTGCTTGCGAAGATGATCTTCACTCTCTTCGTTAGGTGGAGCCCCTTTTCCTAGCAATCCTCCTTCTTGGAACACCATCCCATGGTCAAAGAATCCAAAGCCTTCTCTCCGACACCACCTGCGTAGCCATTCGTTGACTTCCACGATTCAATGGTCTCTACCTGGGCCTTTTCCTTCCACAGGGAGGATGGACAAGAACACCACTTGCACCTCAAACTCCTTTATCCTTCTTCCCAAAGCCACGTAGTCTGCAGTGATCTGCTTGGTATCATTCTTGGCAGTATCATTGGTGCCCACGTGGAGAAGCAGGAAGGGGTAGTGATCCGAGGGCTTGATGAGTCTCGGCAGTCTCTCCGTCACATCGTGAATCCTAGCTCCTGGCAAGCCGCAGACTTGTTGTATTGTTCATTCATGCAGCTACTACTCTTGGAATGATATCTCAGGGTAACATTTCAATATCCTCATAGTTTTTCAGGCATGGGTGGGTATTTCTTTGGGTTATTATCTTATACAATAGTACAGAGATATTCTTAGAGGATGATATGTTTATGGATTGGTTTCAGAGGAGCAGCCGTGTTAATCTGTATTCGCAAAAAGAAAAGGAGGACTTGTGGCACCTTAGAGACTAACCAATTTATTTGAGCATGAGCATCCGATGAAGTGAGCTGTAGCTCACGAAAGCTCATGCTCAAATAAATTGGTTAGTCTCTTAGGTGCCACAAGTCCTCCTTTCCTTTTGATGTTTATGGATGATATACTTATGGAACAGTGAACCCCACTGACACGTCCAGCTTCCCACCACAGTACATTCTGTTTCCATGTAGTAGAACTCTTAATTAGAGCTGGGCAATTTTTTGGTGGTGGGGGAGGGAATAGTAAATTACCCCACATATACATTTTTGGGAACACTAAAAATATTCAAGAATTCAGGACAAAAAAGGCTGATTTTTTTTTTGAAACGCTGAAATATTTTGTTTTGACATTTTTAAAATGAACTGTTTTGACGTTTTGTTCCAAAGGCACATTGTCTTCGAAAAAGTGCCATTTCAAACTGACATTTGAACCCTTTAGTTCAACCCAAATTTTTTTGCCGTGAGAAATATCAAAATGCAATTTAAATTCTAAAATAACTGATTTTTCCTCCTGCTTTTTTGGTTTGGCCACTGAACCAAAAAAAATAATTATTCACTCAGCTCTACTCTTAACTGTATAGACTATATAATCCTGGGTGTGGGGGTGGTTAAAAAGCCCAACAGCTACATTTTAAAGTGGTGGTTTTTATAATGTTTGCATTCACCATGGTGACTACAGAGTGGTGGCTAAGGACTTGGTAGACCACTGACTGCTGTACCATGTCTGGAAGATATAGGTGGAGGTACAAAAGTTGGAGAGAGCCCAATTCTTTGAACAGCTTATGTTTCCCACAGAAATACAAGGAAAAACAATTGCCCTTTGCAGTCCTTTTCTCCATGTTGCTGAATATATGTATGAAAATATACTAGAGATTTAAGATTTTAGCAATAAATGATTAATGTAATGCAAATTCCAGCTCCCAGACAGGAGGCCTGTACTTGAACGTATATAGACAAATAGTAAATGTAAATCTCAACCAAATCCTCAAATCCTTGCTTGCCACTTGTATTTATAATCACATTCGTTTGCTGTATCAAACATTTCAAGGATGTAAAATGATTGTACACAGCGTATAATCCAACTATGCACACTTTCTCCTAAAAAACAAGTACATATAAAGAAGTGCATCTACTATGAAGATTGCAGTGGTCCACAGAAGCAATATATTGCTATTTCATAAAGTATAAACTTAGACAAGCTTAGATAAACTTCAGCAAGAAGATTCTACAGTCTTCTAGATGAGTTCCTTGAAAATTCATTAGGTAGAAGTAACTCCGCAAAACACCTACAGTAACGAATCATGTTTTATTTTTATACCAGAATGATTTATGGTTCATGCCATGTTGGACAGTGAATAACAATGATCTTATATACTCTTCTGTTACAGGAATCGCCCCTCTTCCTCCAATGGCCTCCAGCTTGAATGGTCCAGAACAAGATTTAGAAGTCAGTTCTACGTCAGAGGTAATTGGAAAACAACCCACTGAGATCTTGATATTTTCATATAGCAAATATGTTCTATACTTAGATCATGGATTTCTAAAGGACTTTGAAATTTAAAAGCCAAGTAGGGCTCCATTCGGGCGTTCAACATTATCTCCTTTTAGCTTCTATGAAACACTGGAGGCTAATGCTAGTTTCTTAGCTTTGCATCTAAAATTAAAAATCTAAAAATTTGGTTTAAAAGTTTTTTGTTTTTATTAATTATGTACACCTTCCTACCAGCCTGGGCTATAACTACGCAAGATCTGGGCTCCTTATCGTATGCTCATTTCTATTCCCAACCACCCAGACCCCCTCAGACTCACCCATCTGCTCCTGAAAAAAAAAATCTAGATCCTAGGTCTAGACCCAGATCCTAGGTTCTGCTACATGCCCCTTTGTGCTTCTCAGGTGGAGCAAAGGGGATAGCCAGCAGCTGAATTTCCACTGCCAGCGTGATAGGGACTTTTGCTGGCATAGAGCTGCCATAACCATAGGCAATTAACGTCTCATCTTTTTCTAGAATCAAGGCAACATTAATACAATAGTTATCATTACTTAAAACAGTCCAGTCTTTTATTCATCAGCAGGAATTCCTCCTTGGTTCAGCTTTTCAAGAAGTCACCTGTTTGTATATTAAAGAGCCCATTAGATTATGGAGTTTTTTGCTCTGCTTTCAATGTGCAACATTTCCTTGCTTCTGTGTGCAGTAGTTGGCTCACCTCCAGCTCATAAGATGCTGCAATTCAGTAGCACATAGGGCCTGATCCAAACCACACTGAACTCATTGGGTGAATTTCCATTCATTTCAGCAGGGTTTGGATCAGGCCCATACTTCCTAAAAAGTTTTGAGATGAAACATTGATATAGGTATAAAGTACACTATGGGGCATGCTCTTGGAACATGCTTTAATGCGATGGCTATTCTACCGGAACTTATCCCAGGAAACTCTCCTGCTTCATTAGAATCGGGGTGGGGAGAAGTGCCATTAGTTAGAAAAGAAATGTGAACATACTTTGTGGCATAAAAGATGGCAGTTTATCATTCATAAGACTATCTTCTCTGCCCTCAGTAATTCATGATCAGGATAATATGGAAGTTCATTTCCTCTATGATTTTTGTTCTTCTCAGCATGTAAGTCTCTTGGTCTATTTGATTTGGAGCTGAGAACAATAGCTGTTACAAGAAAGCACCAGGATGACATTGAGTGACAGGCTCAGATGAATGTAGGAACAACAAAGTGACATGAAGAATGATGTAGCTCAATTCCATAATGATCTCCTCTGTATAGTACAGAGGAAAGATATAGGTTACCACAAAGCAGCAGTTTGGCAAAACTGCAGTCCCGCAGCCACTATAGGGACTTAAAAAGCTAACTTCTACACACAGGTATCTCTCTCGCCTCTCTTGTGTTACTCCAACCTGAGAAGGCTTTGACTACTTGACCAACCACTTTGCTCCATCTAAGGTTCTTTTGTAGACAGATCCTAGCAAGCTGGTCTGTGAAACTCACCATGTCATGTTTTTGTCAGAGTGCCAACTTGATAATTTCACAAATGCCCCTAGCATTTCCTTGTTTACTTTGGAATATTGATATTGCAGGATTTAATAAGTACTTAGCCATAAAACAAAATCTTTCTGGTTTATGTATTTATTTTTCTAAAATAACTCAGAAAAAAACTTTTATGCCTGCATCTTCCTCCTCTCCAAAGGTGAAATCCTGGCCCTACTGAAGTGAAAGGGAGTTTTGTCCATTTTGTCAGGCCTTTGCTATTCTAGATTTTCAAGTTTGTCTGATTTGGCCTTTGAAACTACTGCTCGTGCTAAAAGTTACAAGTACACCAGTACATAGAAGCACATACCTGCTCACAAGGATAGGCCATTACACTGTGAGTTCTTTGTGGACTATTTTAGAACATGTTGCTATTGCATGAAGCTATGTACATTTATGGCACAATGAGAATAGGTGTATTTATGTGTTTAAGTGCCCAGAACTAGGTGCTTAGTATGTGTTTAAAATAGGCACAGATGATGTTAAATGCTCAGAATGAAGTGTGAGGCCTTGTATTGCTGACTAGAGTCTAAGGATGAGATTGGGACTTTAGACAGACACAGCACCACTTCCTTTGCTACCTTGGACAGTTACTTGATACTCAGAGGAACAGCCGTGTTCCTCTTGTTTTTTCCTACCCCCCCCCCCAGATGTTCTGGTTTAACTTGGATTTAAACTTGGAGAGTGGTCAGTTTAGATGAGCTATTACCAGCAGGAGAGTGAGTTTGTGTGTGTATGGGGGTGGGGGGGATGTGAGAAAACCTGGATCTATGCAGGAAATAGCCTGACTTGATTATGTAAAGAGTTGTCACTTTGGATGGGCTAGCACCAGCAGGAGAGTGAATTTGTGTGGGGGGGTGGAGGGTGAGAAAACCTGGATTTTTGCTGGAAATGGCCCACCTGTTGATCACTTTAGATAAGCTATTACCAGCAGGACAGTGGGGTGGGAGGAGGTATTGTTTCATATTCTCTGTGTGTATATAAAGTCTGCTGCAGTTTCCACGGTATACATCTGATGAAGTGAGCTGTAGCTCACGAAAGCTCATGCTCAAATAAATTGGTTAGTCTCTAAGGTGCCACAAGTACTCCTTTTCTTTTTACTTGATACTGGTTCCACTGCACATGCTCTAAAATGCTGCACATATGCAAGTGTTTTTTCTGTGATGTTACAAAACAACTGAAAAGAAATATGACCAAATAATGGTTTCTATGTAGATTCGTGTGGATTACTATTTACTGTTACTTTTCATTGAAGTTGAATTAATAGTTGTGGTACAAGACTCATTTTTAAATAAAACTGGTTTAGGAAAAGTTAGCTTTCAGTACAGCTAGCTAGTCTATTAGTTAAACTCGCCCACTTTTGTATTAATTGAAGCTATTTCATTTGTGGCAGACACAGACCCACACATTGCTTGCTTGCTTGGCCTTTGCCTCGTACTGTAAATTGGGATCGGTGGTGCAGATCTATAGAGCATGTGTGATTTGCACAGTTTTTATAAACCGGTTAGCCAGGCCTGATGTTCTTGGTTTGAAATCAGAATTTTTCTTCTCCTAGCTGGGCTGCCAAGCCCCACCTGCCCAGGCTTACACATTGAAAAACAAAACCTCTGGGCATTCTCAGGAACACTACGTTGATAATCAGCATAAATGTCCTAAGCAGTACTGAACTGTCTGAGAAGGGGCACTACTAGGTACGGCTCTAAGCCTTGCAATACCATCAAAACTTGGAGGCCTCATAGCGTTGTGCTTCCACCATTCTTAAAGGGCCAAGAGGCCTGGCTGTCCGAGGATGTGTCAACACTCCAAAAAAACCCTGCGATAGTGAGTCTCAGAGCCCAGGTCATCTGACTCGGGCTCGCAGGGCATGTGCTATGGGGCTAAAAAATAGTAGTGTAGACCTTTGGACTCCGGCTGGAGCCTGGGCTCTGAGACCCACTCCCCTCAATGGTTTTCAGAGCCTGTGCTCCAGCCTGAGCACCTACACTGCTACTTTTAGACCCAGAGCGTGAGCCCTGCAAGACCAAGTCACTTGACCTGGACTCTGAGACTCACAGTTGCGGCTTTTCTTGTTGCAGTGTTGACATAACCTAAGATGAAACATGAGTTCTCTATCCATTGTATAGTGGAAGCTGGGGATTGCGACTCCTTCATAATCAGAGTAACAACACAGATTTGCATTTTCCCTGCATGATTTCTTGCTGGGCCACTTGACAACATTTTCTTTATTTCAGATTTCATACCCCTATTACAGATACTGACATTCTTTCTCATGAGTTTTACAAGTCATTTGAATCACAATATTTGTCATCTAAAATGAAAGATACAACTTAAAGCATGGATGTGCCACAGAAGTGAATGTAGAGCCTTGTGCCCATTCAATATGGCTGAAGCATATTTCAGTATTTATTCTCTCATTTGTTCCCCTCTCAGCTACCTCCTCGCTTAAGTGTAGATTCAAGCTCTAACAGCTGGTAGCACAGTCAGGAAATGCTGGTCTGCTCCGTATTAATTTATCTTGTAAATTTGTAAAAGAGCTTTAGTATGCCAACTACAATCTCACCAATATTCTCTCAGGAAAGAGCCAGTGATGTGGCATTCAGTTCCTATATACTCTGGTTTCTCTTCAGATTGTATAAATCTTTCACCTTTACTAAAGATTTCTGTGGAGAGGAACATTTATGAGTTTATACAGCACACTGAAATCTTGTTTATTTTGAATGAGATGTTTCAACGTATAGAAAGCTGAGATCTATCTTCTGATGATATCTTGTATTAATTCATTGAAGAGTGAGCCTAGATCTATCTTTATATTATGCAATTTAGAAACTTCTCAGGATAACTGCTTAAAATAATCAAAAATCTTTCTGGGTAGCCATTATATTTCATATGGACTGCTAGCTAACAAAAATTTCACTAATGAAAAGGTGTGAGATATGTTCAAAGCAGTTGAAGATGCAACATCAAAATCATCACTAGCTCTTTTAATTGTTGCAACATTATCATGAACAATTTGACAACTGTCTTTCATTATCTCCCTTTTTCTCACCATTGTCTGATAAGCTTTGGAATTTTGGGAAGCCTGGATGGTCTCACAATATAAAGATGAAGCATTTCTATTAAACTAGCTGGTAGTCCAGTGTTCAGGCAGACCATGGAAGGGCTGTGTTGTCTAGCTCCGATTTCTCACATCAGAGAGGAAGACAGGGGAAAGTTAAGGTGGTTTACATCTACATCAATAACTGCATTTGTACACCGACTGATCAATTACTGCAGCTGCCAATATGTCACATGACAAACATGTAAAACAGTGTGCTGCTCATTCAAGATATTAAATGTCTTGTCAACCTGGAAAAAAATCAGATGGCCAGCCATATAACTTCCTGTTATTTGTTCTTGGTTGGTGATTACTGTTCAGCCAAACAGTATGTT